TAGTGTACGATTGAATCGGGGGCGTCACAGAGGGGAAGGAAAAGGGGGGCGCCGCCCCCCTAGTCCAATTCGGACTCAAGGGGACGGGGTGCGCGGCCTGCCCTAGCCGCCCCCTCTCTCTCCACTAAGGCCCATCTAGGCCCGTTAGTTCCTCGGGGGGGTGGGGGGGGGGTCAGGTAACCCTCCAGCACTCCGGTTTTATCCGAAACCACCCGGAACACTTCCGATGTCCGAATATAGCCGTCCAATATATCAATCTTTATGTCTCGACCATTTCGAGACTCCTCGTTATGTCCGTGATCACATCCAGGACTCCGAACTACCTTCGGTACATTAAAACACATAAACTCGTAATGCCGATCGTTACCGAACGTTAAGCGTGCGGACCCTATGGGTTCGAGAACTATGTAGACATGATCGAGACTCGTCTCCGGTCAATAACCAATAGCGGAACCTAGATGCTCATATTGGTTCCTACATATTCTACAAAGATCTTTATCGGTCAAACCGCATAACAACATACGTTGTTCCCTTTGTCATCACTATGTTACTTGCCCGAGATTCGATCGTTGGTATCTCAACACCTAGTTCAATCTCATTACCGGCAAGTCTCTTTACTTGTTCTGTAATGCTACATCTAGTAACTAACTCATTAGTTACATTGTTTGCAAGGCTTATAGTGATGTGCATTACCGAGAGGGCCCAGAGATACATCTCCAATACACGGAGTGACAAATCTTAATCTCGATCTATGCCAACTCAATAAACACCATCGGAGACACCTGTAGAGCATCTTTATAGTCACCCAGTTACATTGTGACGTTTGATAGCACACTAAGTGTTCCTCCGGTATTCGGGAGTTGCATAATCTCATAGTCATAGGAACATGTATAAGTTATGGAGAAAGCAATAGCAGTAAACTAAATGATCAAAGAGCTAAGCTAACGGATGGGTCAAGTCAATCACATCATTCTCTAATGATGTGATCCCGTTTATCAAATGACAACTCTTTGTCCATGGCTAAGAAACTTAACCATCTTTGATCAACGAGCTAGTCAAGTAGAGGCATGCTAGTGACACTCTATTTGTCTATGTATTCACACATGTACTAAGTTTCCGGTTAATACAATTCTAGCATGAATAATAAAAATTTATCATGATATAAGGAAATATAAATAACAACTTTATTATTGCCTCTAGGGCATGTTTCCTTCAGTAGCCCTGCTGGAGTGCTGGAGGTGACAAAGACACAGAGTTCCGGCAGGGGTGTGGAGCGGTGGCGAATGCAAGAGAGAAAGAAGGAAGAAGATAAAATGGGGAGGATGGAGGCGCGGGGGTCCGGGAAGGGTTTTGGGTGGGCCTGGGGTGTCGCAGTCCTACGTTTCTCATGTTCGGACTCCCGTAAACCTCCCCCATGTTTGTCTCCGGTGTACGGGAGTAAACGCGTCCGGACGGCCTCACAGACCAATACGAGCCCGCATTGGATGGCTTCGGCTTTCTGGATGGATGCGGTCGGTTTGTAGGTCCATCTTGGAGATGCCCTAAGGACATCTCCGACCCCTGACCGCATCCGTCCGCGGACACAGATGCAGGAGCCGACTATCTAATGTTATCTCCTAAGGGTGTAGTTAGGTCTCAGACGACTAAGATTTAACCAAGTCCTAGTCAAGTAACATAACATGCAAAAGAGAGAGAAAAATCAAAGAGAAATTTTTGCACGAACCTTAATGTAAGATATCACAGATATAACATCGACCGAGACTTTATGAAGTCTCAGTCGACTGAGACTTGATGAAGCAGTCTTAGTCGATTGAGACTTTGCAAGGCTGCTCCCCTAAATGTCCGTCAATATGGTCAATTTTAAATTTTAATCGGTTTGATCAGATAGGGTGCGATGGATCACACTAGCGCCAGATCGCATCCTCCAATCAAAACCAAAAAGGGACAAGTATGCATAGTTTTTAGATGCCTGGTCACAAAAGAATATCATCGCCAATCCGTGCAAATAGTTGGATTTTTATGCCCTGCCGGACCGGCAATCCGAGCCTCCATGCTCAACCATGTAATTCTCCAACCATGGCGGTGTCTGCATAGTGGGCAACGATAGCAGGCCCCCGCGTCCTAGGCTTCGCCCTCCACCACGTCCGCCATCTCCACGTCCTCCACCATGACCTACACCTCCGCCTCCGTTGACCTTCTGCTTCTTGAACGCGCTGCCGCCTTTGTCTTCGCTTTGAGATGGCGATTTTACCGTATCTTAGAGTTGATCTTCTATGCGAGTGTGATCGCCGAATCCTCCACTACCACCATCTCCGGCAGCTTCTCCTGCAGGTCCATGGGTCCTGCAGAGCCCTCGCTTTTGTAGCTAGCAACACTGTTTCCGCGGCAAAATCCCCCAGTGTGCTCTTCCATCTCGCTATTATTTTATCCCGACCCTGATTTTGTGGAGCAGGGCAGGTAAGGTAATTAAGCAGATTCTTTTATGTTGATCTAACCTAGTGTCTATCGAGCGTAAAATCTTGATTTTTCTTTTCATAGGAAAATTGTTTGAGTAAGCTAGGTTTCTGGTCCTGCTGTCTGTGTTTGTCCCTGTGTGGATTTGTTGACAGAAAGGATCAATTTGGGGATAAACAAACTATTCAGTGTGAAATTATGGTAGTGTAAAAGGATATAGTGGATCAATTTGGGGAAAGATAATTTTTTGTGTGTGTGGCTCATATGATATGTACCCATGTTGTGAAAATTTGCTATAACATCAGTATAGCCACTCGAATACACAGTAAACATACATTGGATTTGAGAGGCCCCATGTGTCATCCATGCTAAAGTTTGCAGGTGGCTGCCTTGCTTAGTGGGTACGAGGTCCGAGACCATCCTTGGCAACACAGCAGAGGGGAACCCAAGACGTTCCTCTGGATATGTGTTCCCCTGTCTTGTTTTATTTGATTGAGCACCGTCGACGATATACTTGGGTGGTATTGCAATCTTTATACCAATGTATATGGTCTTTCAAAAGTCTTCTTCTTTAATTGAAAGTTGGGTGTCTAGCTTGAAAAGCGTTATTTCTGTTGACTAAAGTTGGATGTGGAAAACTATTTCTGTTTCTGCATGTGCATATGCATGCTTTGCTTTTTTTCTTATAACTTTCCACTTGTAATCATGCATTATGTGTTGCAGATGGACCAGCTGATTCAACGGTTGACAGAAAGGACTCACCCTGCAAAGAAGACCATAATTGCCAAGATGGTGAAGCACAATATCCTCGGCCACATCTTCCAGAGGTATGCCATGAAACGCTGATGATGGGCTATGAGTGCTCTAACTATACTAATTGGTTTTTGGTAAATATCTAGTATGAACATATCCTTAGTGATGCAACCTGCTACAATCCTACTGCATTACTAGCTTTGTTTTGTTTGAACTGCCTGCAGAAAAATGTCTGTCATGAGTGTTAGATCCCCTTCTGTCTTAGTAAGGAGGGGTAGATTTCATAGAGTTACTTCTCTTACCAATGGCTTGTTTTTTTCTTGGTGTGGTTTTACGGTCTGGAATCTGGATTCAGTGTCCTGCTGTTTATGCATACCGTACTTTAAATACTCCGGTATGCAGTGCTGAGGGTTGATCGCTGGCTGCGGGGCCTGACGCTATTCCCCTTCACCTCCTTGTTCAACCTCCATAGTTTGGAGGCCCTTCTCCGGTTCTCCCCTTGCCGCCTTGGTCGGGTGTCCTCAGCAAACATGCTGAGAGTCTCCTGCTAGATCAGCTGCAGCTCCAAGACTCAATTGTGTTTCTTTTGTTCGATCCAAGTCCTGTGTGCAAAAGTGAAGGACTAAGTTACTATTTTCTTTTCTTTGGGGTCCTCCTATGGGTTGTGATGTAACAAAGTTTGATGCGTTATACCAGCTTCGAGGTCCTTCAGGAACCTTACACTTTGCTTAGAAAATAAATAAAAAATAACCAACATACTGTTAGCTTCTTCCATGCCTAACACATGTCGTCCTTGGCAGTTAAAACTCAATCTTCACGATAAAACATCCATACATATCTACAGAGGCCCCATCCTTACCTTGATAATTTTTTTAGTTCAGATGAATAACCATCTTTGTGCCCATGTTTGCTACAGTATGTACCCTGAGTGTCCATATCTACTAATAATTTGGTGTCCGATGTTATTATTTTATACAACTCCCTCCCATTAAAGGACCAACATTTTGACTGCATTATTTTTCTTAGTCCAGTTCACATTGGGCTCTTTAACGAGTAAATAATCTTGACCCACGGTACTTCGAGCGAAAACACTTCTGATATAAGGTCGATCAGCTGCTCATTTCCTGTAGTGAAATGATATTTTTTATAGAGAAAATTTCCTCTGCGGCGACATAGTTATCTCCATCCTTCTTTGTTTTGCACTTCTATATTACAGAAATTGATGGTAAGACTGTTCCCAGTTGACATGATCACACCAAATTATGTGCGAGTTTAGAACCATGTAAAGTATACCTCTTCATACTACTAGAACTGAGAAGTGGTCAATTTGGAATGATTTGTTTTGGATATGTCGCTATTGTTGGAAGTGCTAGACTGCTAAGGCTACTACAATCTTTTATCCTGGTGCTAGTGGCTGACACTCTGTATAAGTACTGTAGTGGTTTAATTTGCTATCATTAGGAAGTTAGGTTGTGTCTGTGAAGTCGCCTCGCCATATGCCATAAACGTGTGTACGTGTGAGTTTGATGACATGCAATGGTTTCACTCATAGTAACTAGATGATACCAACACTATTCGTTTAGAACCAAGACATTTAGGAAAGTAACCAGCCTTTACTCAGCAGTCAGCACAATTGCACGGTGTGCCTTTGTATCGCGTTGCAATCATGTGCAAAAAGTTGGGTTAAAATGTTGCTCGACATGGTTTTCTTTATTTCTTTTGTCCATTTGAAATAATTTCTCACATGCTTGTGCATGCAGGATATCTGATGTCATATATATTACCTACTGTCAATGCAAGATGCTGCTCGAGCTGCTTGCGTATCTTATGCATTTAAACGTTCTTGGAGATGCTATCCTAACCTTGCTTTCGATATGATAACATTGGGCATAGATATAGAATCATGTGGAGAGGACGAAATAGCAAGGAATTTTACCAGCAAAGTTGACCATATTTTGAAAAACCGCCCATGCATTGCCACCAAGACCCTCGAGATTGTTTTCCGTTACTACAATATCGACGTCTGTAACATTGATAGCTGGTTTCAGACTGCTGTTACACCAGGGATTGAAGAACTCACTGTGGAACTATCTTCAAACTCAGGAAGATATTACAACTTTCCGTGGTCACTTTTGGCTAATGAGAGTGGAAACTCGATTCAGTATCTAAATCTTGCCCGTTGTGCTTTCTCTCCGACTGGCGGGTTGTGCTTTAAAAGCTTGACAAGACTCGAGCTAAGCGACGTTCATTTCACGGGGGACCAGTTGGGATCGCTTCTTCAAAATTCTTTTGCTTTGCAACGGATGCAACTCAAGTGTTGCAATACGATAATTTGCTTGAAGATATCGTTTCATCTACAACAGCTCAGATATCTGGACGTGTTTGACGGCAGTACCTTGCTGCAGGTTATAGAGGTAGAAGCTCCAAACCTCTCTAATTTCCAGTTTATGGGTCATCGCCAAGTACAACTATCACTTGCAGTAGGATTGCAATTCAAGAAGTTCGACCTGTCCTTTCCTGGTGCTGTCAGCTATGTTTGTTCTGCTTTTCCGCCCAGCTTGCGATATGTTGCAGCTCTTTCCCTAGGTTCATGGCGTGAGGTATACGCTAAATCCTTGGTTATCTTTTGACTGTTGATATGCATAGCATGAGTGATCTGAAATATCTTTGTGCAGATGATTGATACACCGGTTCTACCGAGCAAATTCTTACATCTCAAGCACTTGAGTGTTGATCTTGAAGCAATGACATTTCCCCGAACCTACGACTACTATTCTTTGATATCCCTTTTTGACGCTTCTCCTTCCTTGGAGACCCTTGTCATGAACGTAAGTCACTGTCCATCTTGCAAGGATATTTAGTTACAATGATGGAACTATAATCCAACCATATTGGCCTGTCATCTTCAGGTTTTGCAGAAAAAGATGTTGCACAAATCAGTCGTGGGAGATACAACACATTTGAGGCAGATGCCAGGACACCGCCATGATAGCCTCAAAACAGTGAAGATCATTGGTTTCTCCTTTGCGAAAAGCCTAGTAGAGCTAACATGCCATATCATTGAGAATACAACGTCACTTGAGGGCCTTACATTGGACACCACAAGAGGACATCCTTCGTATAACTGTTTAACCAACAATATTGGAAAGTGCATGCTATTGCACGGGGATTTTATGGTGGAAGTTCGTAAAGGGCTCTTGGCTATCAGGACATACGTTGAGCCAAAAGTTCCTTCCAGAGTCAAGCTAAATGTTGTGGAGCCTTGCCGCCGATGCCATGATCAACCATTGATCATATGTTGAACTTCATATGCAAGTTATCATAAGTACCCTATGATTCCTGTGTAAGTTAAACTAGAACGCGAGGAACCTTGCTGCTGCTGCTACCTGGGGTATACACCCCAACCCCAATGTTTAATGTGTAACTAGTACGCTCGTGTGTTGCCATGTAAGTGGACCCCCTGCCACTCCAATGTTTCTAGGTGTAGGTGCAAGCAAAGTATAACTGGAATGGACAGAAAATTGTTGATCCATAAAAGATGTACTCCCAGTATCCAGTAAAGCCACTGCTCTTTTTCCATTGAGATAGATGACCACAGTGGGTGTGGAAGGGGAGCACCACTGATGGCTTGGGCAGAAATGCACATCACATTTTCTGTGTTGTTCCCTGTATTTTAGGTTCTTCAGTGTCAGTTTGCTGTTGGCCAGTATGATCTTCCTGCATGATATGAATATTTGGTACTAATTTGCTCTAGTGGCTTTGAACCCATTTATCACAACATCTCCAACATTCTCCCACTTTTCTAGTTTTATGAAACTTAACATATGGCAGCTCTAATTGTTTCAAAGGTTGTTGTTGTTGGACAGGCACATGAACACGAACATATCTCTGAGGCACAACTTTTGTTTGATTTCTTATAGCAGTTTGTGCAAGGGACACGGGTCTTATTTGGGGGACAAGGCTTAGTATCCCTCGTATCCAAATAAGCATCAGTCAGGTCTAACTTGGTGCTTTATGCCCTCTCTGAGTCCATTGACATAGCACCTAACAAACCAAGCTTCAGATAGTTCAGGATTTTCATCCTGGACATCAGTCATCAGTCCTTCAATTTTTTGGTATATTCTTGGTTGTCTGATTATTCTGTTTAACTATAATTGAACCTCTCTGTTAGGTCATATAATAGCCATGGGAGGAAAACCTTTTCAGAATTCAGTCCATGACAACACTTTCTCTAACAGTCCTGACCTAAAACAATATTCTTGGACTGTCTGATTATTCTGTTTAACTGTAATTGAACCTCTCTGTTAGGTCATATAATAGCCATGGGAGGAAAACCTTTTCAGAATTCAGTCCATGACAACACTTTCTCTAACAGTCCTGACCTAAAACACACGCCAGCCTCTCCTACAATATAAAGTTGGACGCGTCTAGTGGGCGGCCGGCTGCCCACTAGTGTGATCAAGCGGCCGGCCTGAAAAAGGTAAGTCCCTGTCCCCCCCGCGGTCGCGCGCTCCAGAAAAGGAAAGCGACCACCAACCCATGCGATCGAGTGGCCAGTCCCGATACGCGCAAACAGAAGGAGAGAAATGTCCTCCCCACGCTCCCACGTGGCCAGCTATACCTACCGAGCCCTCCCACGCCCGCTCGCCCCCAAGCCATCACGGTTCCTTCTTCTTCTCCACGAAAGAAGGGATCCAAGGCCCTTCTTCCTCCTCCTACACAGCCGCCATGGCAGCCCCAAAGTAGAAGAAGAACCTGTTTCAAAAAAGATCTAAGGGGAGGGTGGTCAGAGCCATACCAGGCAGCAACATCAGGGCAGGTAATTTCCCTCCCTGTGCCCCTCTTCACTTTACTCCTTCTACTGCATATGTCAACCCCCTTCTCCATGGATCTAGCAGAAATCCATGGAGAAGCTGCTTCAAAAAGAGGTGGATCTGGCAAATAACCCCACCCTCCCCCATGAGTGTCATATCTGCAACTGAAAACAAGTACCACGAATTACTGTGCAACTAATCATGGATAGGAGCCTACTATTCCCTGGTTTGTGCAACTAAACACAAGTCATTAGGTTTAGTTGCACAGCTTCCTAGTTGCACACTAAACATGGTTTGAGACCAACTTTACTGAACATTTTTCTAACATGCATGCCAGCCAAGTCCCCCCACCTAGATGTGTTAAACAAGCCAACTAAACCAAATTCAGTGGCCAACTGAAACATGATTCTAGCCAACTCAATATGCATTGTAGCCAAAACCTAAACATGCATTGTAGCCAATGAAAAATGCATAAGTGTGCAACTGAACATGCATCCCAACCAACTGAACCTGTATTCTGGCAACTCAGCATGCATGCTAGTCAAAACTGAACATGTATCCTGAACATGTATTCTGAGTGAACACTATAGAAAACCTGAAGTATATGTGCAATAAAAACATGTATCCTGGCCAATTGAACATGCATGCTGGCCAACTGAATATGCATCCTCGCCAACTGAAACATCTATTCTAGCCAACTGAACACATTGACTGTCCAACTGAACATGCATGCTGGCCAATTGAAAATATGCATCCTGGCCAACTGAGACATCTATTCTATCCAAAACCAAAAATCTGTAGTACGACAGCGAAAACACAAGAAACTTTTGTACATAGCTAATGAAACCACAAACCATATTAAAATAGTCATACATATATTCTTGTCCCACACATATATTCTGGTCCCAAACCTACTGCAAAGCTATAGTGTAGAAAATATGTTCAATATACTAGAAGTAAAAATAGAAACGGCAATGAAAAACATATATCTATAATCTGTCATCCCATTCTTCTTTCTTCTTCCACCTGGATTTCGTCGTCTCAATTGTGGCATCAAATTATGTCCAAATTATGTGCAGAAAAATCTAGATCAGCTCCTTGCCAACAGAAAACCTGCAGATCATTGCAACAAACAAAGGAAAAAGTCAGAAAACTCTGTATAAAAAAAGACATGTTCTTGCAAACTGTGCAACTAACATAACAAGGTTGTGCAAAAAAGCATACCTGTTATAATAAAAGATTCTGCTATAGAGATGTTGCTTTTCGAACTAAGATTGTCATAAAATGGTGTGCAACTATCTATTTACTAAGTTTTTAGGTTGTTTGAAACACTCTTTGATGATTAAAACCTGACATCACTTTCTTCTTTTTATATATACAGTGGATGTGTGGCAGCAGCCAGAAAAAGGAAAAAAAAATGCTTGATCTCAATGAGTTGCCCCCTGATCTCAATGAGCTTCCTCATGATATGGATGAGCAGCAACCCAACATACCGCAAGGAAATTGGAGAGAAAATGGGCGCTCCGTTTACTACATGCAGACAAGTTGTGGGCCTAACCCTATGGGCCATGACAATGTGGCAGGGCAGTCATCAACACGTGGTGCCCCTGTAGTGGTGTCTTTGCAGTCAGAGAGCCATACTCTTGATGACATGGGCACCACGACAAATTTTCTTGGTCCAACCAGGACTGAGTTCGATGCTGGCGCTGTTGACGGTGCTATGCAAGGAGAAGAAGGAGAAGATGAGGCTGGTTCTCAGCCAATGGAACCCTATGTTGGCATGAGGTTTGACACCCTTCAAATTGCTAAGGATCACTACAATAGCTACGCCTTGCGGATGGGTTTCTCTGTCAAAATGAACACCTCTAGGCGGACAGGCAATGTATTGGTAAAATAGCAGTTTTGCTACAACAAGTACAAGAAGCCAAAAGCTGATGATGGAGGAGCCGAGGCACCTCCTGTCCTGGACCCTATACCAGATCCAAAACCTGTTGACACTGATGAGGAAATGGAAGATGAACCTCCAATTTTTGCTGAAGAGGAGGTCGGTCCTAGTAAGAAAAATAAGAAACGAAAACACGAGACAATAAAGTAGACTCAATGCAAAGTAAAAATGTTGGTGAAGCTGATGGATGGGCGATGGGAGGTGACGCATTTTGTTCGTGACCACAATCATCCGCTGGTGAACAAATCTTCGTTGTCCAAATACTTGAGACCCCACCAAGGCATCTCTCCTGATGAAAATGAGTTTTTGCGCATCTTGTATAACTGCAACTTGACTATAGGTGTGTTTCTGTATCCCTTACAGAATTAAGTTTCCCTCTAGGTAGTCCAGTGTGCAACTGTTATGGTACTGGTGTGCAATAAAATCCCTTAAGTGTGCAACTAGATTACCTTCACTGTGCAACTACATAATATTCCTGTGCAACTAGATTACCTTCATTGTGCAACTACATAATGTCCTGTGTGCAAAATGAAAGTGTTTTTTAAAAGGGGCAGCTGGTTGTCAATTTCCTGCAACTATCTTCTGTGCCAACACATATCGTATTATTGTGCAGCTGGATATGTGCATTCATACGACTAATAAAATGTATATTGTTTCTTTTTGTATTATGCAGGACGTATGATGCATGTAATGGCTGCGTTCTATGGATCTGAGATGATGGTGCCGTTCGGACCAAAGGCAATAACAAATCTGTGTACAAGTTTCCATAGAGATGACACAAAGGAGGGTGACCTGATTGAGACAATTGCGCACTTCAAGGATATACAAAAAACCGATCCAGACTTCTTCTATAAGGTGAAATATGATGAAGAGGACAGAGTTGTCAACATATTTTGGGTGGATGGCTCAGCTCGAAAAGATTATGCCGAGGCGTAGCACGATTGCATATCGTTTGACACCACCTACATGACCAAC